TTTTCTTTAAGGGGCCATGTGGCCTCTTGGTGACTGTTCCACTCACTTCAGCTGTGGAGCAAACACAGCCACAGACGATGCAGAGGGAGTGGCGTGGGTGTTTCCAATCAAGCTTTATTTATAAATTGAGGCAGCCACGCCTCCAAGGGGACACCTGCTCAGAAGGCTGGAGTCTCAGGAGTGGAAAGGGGCAGGGAACAGGGAAGGGACACCGACTCTGTTATGAGAAGGCTGTGACAAGCCATGGATTGGTCAGCCAGGGCCCCACACTGTCTGGGGATCTCCCAGTGGTGGTGGTGGGGGGGGGGGTCAGTGCATCCTGAAATTTGTACTCAGTGTCGTCTGCACAAATGCACACAGGTGTTTTCTGTGATGTATACACAGCCATTCTTCTGGGGAGAAGGTTCACAACTTTCTCTAACTGATTTAAGGATCTTGACCCCAAGAAGAAAGGAACCACTGTGTGACGCCAAGCAGCCTCCATTCAACAGGGAAGACCCCCAGGACATGGGACCTTCCATGAGAGGTGGCAGGGCTGATGGGGCCCACAGCTATTGGAAAGTCTGTATCTCCAGCCTCCCCGGGGCTTCCCGTCATCACACGTTCTCAAAGTGGCTCCAGCAGTGGTATGTGATCCCTGGTCCCTCCTGTCACCAGAGCTGCAGGATGCTCCCCAGCCAGCCCACAGAATAGCCTACAGAGAGGCCTAATTTTCAGTTTCTCTTCCTTCTCCAGACCTACAGAAATGGGGAAGTTCCACGTGGCCCCAGCTCCCTGCCCAGCCAGGTAAGGACATATAGGGACAGGTGGAGGACAAGCAGAGGGCTGGGGCAGGATGACACTGGCCTGCTGTCATTTGCTGAAGAACTCCTGACCATACTTCTTTAGCACACACGCCAGGTTGAGAAACTCAGCCACATGTGTGCCACTTCCAGGGTGGCAGAACCAATGTCGTGTGGCCGTGGTCCCGTGCCAATGGCCCCATGGCTCCTGAGGAAGTGATGGCGCCACCCCAGAGTGCCCCCAGGAGCACTGTCCCCAGACACGGTGGCTCAGTGGCTTTTCTGACCACGTCCCTTGAGACAGGTGAGACTGCTGCCATGCAGCACCCATGGTGGCCAACTTCTGGCAAGCCAGGCTGAGATGCTGCAGCTGATGGTGGAGCTGCGGCAAGTGGTAGGCTCCTAGGTTGTTGGCACACACCCAGGGGCACCCTAGAAGGTGGACCTCTGGGGGTTCAAACTGGGCTGCTTCCCAGGGGAGGCAGTAAGGTCTCTGTGGCAGGTGGAAGCCAGAAGTGAGGCCCGTGTCCCTGGCTCTGCAGGGGTGGGACAGGTATAAGGACTCAGCAATGGTCTGGCCACATGGAGAACACTGAATACCCTGGGCAGAGAAGGTGGACAGGCCACAGCTGACACAGCTGCTGCACAGGGCCCTCCAGGTGGGACACCCCTTTCCCTGGGGTGCGGGGTCTGGCATGGCTGCAGCTCTGGGATCTGCTGGGAGGACACTTGGCTTGCCTGCTGGTGTGGGCCACAGGCTCCTCCCCAGGGGACCTCAGATCTGCAGTGACCAGCAGCTCCCCCTGTGCACTGCCTGTCCTCCCACATCTGTGCTGACAAGGCTTCTGAGACCTGGTCCTCGGGGCTCAGGGCCTGTGGAGTCCACAGGATCTGAGATCAGGCTGTGGTGCAGCTTGCAGTAGGCCAGCAGGTCCCTGGAGCACTCCGGTGGCGTCTCCGATCCCGGGTGCGTTACTATTACTTGTTCACCTGCAGCTGGAGCAGCGCTTGCTCCCTTGGCCTGGCCAAGAGTGAAGACCCCATGCACGATGAAGCATGCCGTCCCCTCAGCTCTGAGGACCGTCCGGGAGGGGCTCCTCCAGCAAGCAGGACCAAAGCCAGCTGCCCAACACAGACACAGGCCACTGCCCCACTGTCTCAGCCACTCACTGCCCTGGGGTTCAGAGTCATCCGGGCCTATCTCCGTGGCCTGGTGGCCCGTCCTTTCTCCACGGTCAGAACCTCTGAGGTACATGTGGTCCCCACAGCTGGTCAGCAGTGTGAAGGGTGGGAAGTGAGATGCCCTGGTAGCCATAATCACAGCACCAGGCAGAGGCTTAGAGTGAGGGTCAGAGTGGAGGCCCTGTCACCTAGGCTGGGCATGAGGAAGTGAACCAGGAGCCCTGGTGGCCACCAGTGGATGGCATCTGTGAACCTGAGGAGCTTCAAGGGGACAGGATGACCCCAGAAGCAAGGGCCCGTCGTGTGTGGAAGGGGCACATTTCTGCAGACTAAAAGGATTTCCTGAGTGTTCGAGGACCACGACAGGGTGGAGGCTCTCTCAGGGAGGGCACCAGGCAGCGATGGGACAGGAAGGCCCCAGCATAGGGACAATGATCAAGGGGACTGACCCTGAGGCAGCTGAGTGCTTGGTCTGTGGTAGTCCCTGAGAAGCCAGCTGGCACAGCCATCAGTTGGGGGGATGGTGGAGGAAAACCTCGCCTCCCTGTTCCTGCCTCCAGTGAGCAAAGGACTGTACTATGGACGACGAAGCCCCAAACTTTCAGACCACCTGCACTCAGGAGCTCTCCCACCTCCAAGTTAACTGGAAACTTATAGCAGGAATCAACTCAGGCAAAGGGCGGGAGGACTGGGCACTGTCAAGTTGCACCTCCATGGACACCAGCTAGAATTCACAGAGCTGGTTGCAGTGGAGGGAGGAAGGCCCAAGAATTTGAAGTGATGCTGGACACAGTGGCTCATGCCTGTAATCCCAGTTACTTGGGAAGCAGAGATTAGACTTGTGGTTTGAAGCCAGCCTACCTAGGCAAAATTATTAAGACCCCATCTCAACACACAAGCTGGCCATGGTGGTCTACATTTGTAATCCCAGCTATGTGAGAGGCTTAGGTACGAGGATGATAACCTGAAGCCAGCCAGGGTAAAAATTGCTAGATCCGATTCAAAAAATCCAGCGCAAAAGGGGCTGGAGATGTAGCTCACGTGGTAGAACACCTGCCTAGCAAGCACGTGACCCCAAGTTCAAACCCCAGTACAAACAAACAAACAAAAATAATAATCAAAAGTAAGCAGTTGCTGAGTCCTGACCAGGAGCAGCACTTGCAGCACAGGGCAGAAGGTGCAAAGGCCCTACAAGTGCTCACTTTCTTCATGTCTGTCCTAAACTTCGCAAAGCCCCAAATGAATGAAGCCTGTCAGCCCCAAGCAGGAGAGCGGCCTGCAGGGAGGCTCACAGGCAGTGGAGATGGAGGCCGGTGTACCCTCGTGTGGGGTGGGGACAGAGCAGCAGAAATGGTCTTGGAGCCAGGCAAATTCTGGGTTCAAGTCCCTGCTCCTCACTCATTACCCAGGTTGAACAGTCAGTCGCCTTATCTACAGTGTAGATGATGAAGCCTTGACGGAGGCAATGGGGACAAAATGGAAACATGAAAATTCAACCTGCACCCAGTGGAAACCACAGCCACAGGGACCCCTCAGCTGGGGCCAGACTGGTCGTCGACAGCCCTGAGCCTGTATTGAAGGTAGTGCGTGACAGGAAAGGCTGAGGACCGTTAGTCCTCTGATGTCCACTCCTGGAGGGCATCAGAGTCCTGGGGCGACATCTCCAGGTTCCAGTTTCCCCCCACCTGCCCCAGCCAGGGCTCAAAGGATCACGCGGGTCAGCCAGACTCCAAGGCCTTTATTCAGGAAGGAAGGAGGGCGGCGGCGGTCTGGTAGGCACAGGCAGGGGGTGACAGTTCTGTCCCATGAGGTCCCGTGGGGAGAGGAGTGCAGAGGAGCCTGTTGGGGGAAGGGGAGGGTCCCCTCCTCCAGGAAAAGGCACTGATGGGTGAACACCTGGAGCCACGAGGCCAGGTCCTTTACACACCCGGGACCGACTATCAACAGGTGAACTTGAAGCTAAGTACAGCTGAAGGCGAACAGAGTCCATCTTGGCAGCCAGGGCTGCACTGGGCTTTGTCACCCAAGTAGGCAGGAAATTCAGGAAGGAGGCAGAGCTTGGAAGGGAAGAGTCTAGCCTTTCAGTCTTAGTGTTTTGTGCAATTAAAAAACCCAAGGAAATAAATATAACTTACAAATGTCTCACAGGACACTAGAGGCAAGGCGTGCCTGGGAAAGGCAATCGAGGCAGTCTTCGGAGCAGGCACAGCTGGGCTGACCACAGAACAGCCAGGCTCTCGGGGGCAGAGGGGGCCCCGTGGCCTCACCTGCGCATCCGTGCACAGCTCGTCCCTCCCAGCACCTGGTGGCCAGGACCCGGGGAGCTCTATCTGGCAGTCCAACAGGCCATGCCCAGGTCCCGGGAAATTCCATTCTAGGGTCACCTATCCCCCGGGGACAAGGGAAAGGACCGGGGAGACAGTAAGTGTGGGAGCCAGCAGGGTAAGTACGAAAACCCGAGCAAAACCAAACACTCCAGGGAAAAGAACACCCAAAACGGTGCCTACTGACACCACTTTCAGGTGACCTTGAATAAGTGTCACTTGCATCTCAGCGCCTGGACTGCAAGCAGCTGGGGCCTCCTTAAAGTGCTCGGGAAGTCTCCTTCTCTCACATAGGTTAAACTGTGCCTGAAAATTTTCTTCCTGTCATTAGTTTGCTTTAGCAAACGTCTTTCCTCAGTACAATGAGGGGACCTGGCCAGGCTGAGTCGTGAAATCTTTATGACCGGGTTAACTTCCTTGCAGGTGGCTGGACAGAGACCACCATGAGGTCCCCTGAAACCCACCAGGGACCCAGGCTGGGCACCCAGCACATATGCAGTGCTCCAGCCACCCCCGGCTGCCGCCTTCCAGACCACGCGCTGTCACAAGGCTGGCGCTCAGCTGCGGGGGTTTGACCTTTAGCAGTCAGCCCACACAGGAGCTTACCACCGACTTGAACAAGAGCCAGGAGATCCAAGTGATTTCCTTTTTTCAAATCTGTACTTACGGGTCCCACCTCCCCACCCCCGCTGTCACTCACTCAACCCACCCAGCATGAAAGAGGAAACTGCTGTGTCACATGGCAGGAACACAGTCCCCTCCAGAGACCCCAGGGTCCAGAGCAGGTGGCAGCCCTCCACCCCCCGAAGCTGTCCTGGCAGATACACATCTTGGTCCACACGCTCTCCCTTGGGGTCCCCGAGCTGCACCTGCTAGCTGGGCACCCATCAAGTGCTCCTCCCTGCTGCATTCCTGAACGAACTTCTGACAGCCAAGGAAGGGGTGGCAAACCCCAAGGGGCCTGGGGCACAGCCCCAAATGGCAAGAGCCGGGAGTTTGGCTCTTAAAGTCAGGCAACTGTATGTTCTTCTCAGCAAGGCAGACTTGTGTTACAGTTAAAATAAGGCTTACGAATGGTCCCCACGTCTTCAAGGTGCACAGGGACCCCAGGGACACCCATCACTACCCTGGAAGCTGCCCACACCACATGGGTCTAAGCCCTCCAGCCGTACAAATGATTTCCGTGGAAATTCAGAAGCAAAGCCAGTAAACCAGAATCCTGTTTCCTGGCAGTGGCCTGAGCCCTGCCTCACCCCCATCTCCCACCCCCAAATAGTTAGGGACCCCATGTACGCAGGCAGGATTGACAGTTAGCACCAGGGACATGAGGACATGAGACAAGTACCCTCCTTGGGCAGAGTGGGGACCCAGAGAGGCTACAGGTCCCAGGGGGGCTGTTGGTGCCCTGAGCGAGCACTTCCACTTGGCCCTAGACTGTGACATGGCAGGGGCAGAGTGTGGGAGCACAGCTAGGTCACCCGGCAGCTCTGAGAGGTTAGTGTGGTGTCCCTGGAAGTTCAGATTTACAGAAATTACCCCTCTGAATTCATGGGCAGCAACTCCAGATGGAAGGACGCAGCTCCTGCCTGCCATCCTTCTGGAAAGGCCTAGGTCACAGAGCATAGCCAAGATGGCTTCTGCCCATTCCAGGACCCTGATCTGCCCAAAGCCAAGGTGTGGGGGAGGGGGACCATAGAAGGGCCATCTCGGCATCTCTGGAAGCCCAGAGCTGCTCAGAGGAGGGTGCATTGCTCACAAGCCACATGTGTTCCCAAGCTACCCCAAAGCAGGAACCTGGCCTGGCCGCTGGGTTTTCTGGGTGGGAGACGACTCTGCTGAGCGCTTGTGCTAATGGCTCCTGCCACCAGGGGGCAGCAGCCCCCTGCCAAGAGCCCATGGGAGCCTTGCTTTCTGGGGTTCTCCCACCCAGCTGCAAGCACAACTGACTCGCACAGGGAGTCCAGGCTTGGTTTTAGCTTCTCTTCTAGAAGGTGGTTCTATTTACAGAGAGAAGAGGAAACACCACCTCCAAGCCCTTAGGGGAAGAGCTCGAAAATTTCCTCTCCTCCTCTACAAAGTGTCTTGTAGTGCAGCTCAGCAGGGTCAGTTCCAGGGCCGGGCCGGGGAAGTGAAGGGAGGGTTAGAAGGAGAAGGGAAGCAAAGGGGAGAGGGGCGAGGGGGCAGGTGAGGTGGGGGCCTCAGGGGGGCGGGCCGCCCTGTGACATTTCCGTCAGGATGTCGATGAGATTGTTCAGTCCCGAGAGGTAGCCGTCCTCCCTGTTCCCTTCCTGCCAGGGGACATCATGCTGCAGGGTCTGTCCCTCGGGCAGGGGCGTGGTTTTCCCAAAGTCGATCATCCACACCTTGGCCTGTTCCTTCTTGTCATGGATAAAGAGCAGAGAACTGCCGATAACCTGAAGAGGAGCAAGGCAGTGAGGAGAGGTGGCTGGGGCACCCAGACCTGAGGGGCTTGTGGCTGAACCCTGCAGTTGGGGGCCAGCTACTGTATCCCCCATCCTCAGCTAGGCAGCAGGGAGGGCACCAGAGTAACTGTGCTGGGGCACAGATTGTAGGATCGTGGGATGGTGACTACCCTGTGTAGGCAGAGGCAGGGAGCAGAGTGGGATGGGAGACACCCTTTTGCACCCCTACTCTGGCCTGCACACTTTCCACAACTTCTAAACCACAACTAAACCCTGGGGCCACGCCCTTGACTCCTCCCAGCACCCAGAGAGTGCTGCTGGGTTAACGGGAAGGTGCCCAGGGGCTTCCCAACTCTGTCTGTGGAGCCCAGGAAGGGACCCATTCCTGTGCGCACAGCAGCCCACTCCAGCACGACCCCCAGCAGGTTCAGACAGGCCCCTCAGGCCTGGACCCACCGTAATTTCTCTCAGGGACAATGACCACCAAAGGGCCTGGGTCAAGGGGGTTCAGAGAAGCAAAGGCGGTTCTGTGCATGCTTTGCCCTGGGTGCTGGCTGCCAGGCAGCCTCCTGGCCTCCATAGAGAGGCTAACTGGAGCAAAGGGAGACTTAGGCAGGCAGCACAAAGATCCCAATAAGCCAGGAATATAGAAGCCCAGATGCCACCAAGCGCCAAAGGACATTCTGAGAACAGGTGGGCCAAACCAACTGCTGGGGACAGAGCAGGATGGCTCTGCTCTCTGGGGGACCACCCTTCTTCACCACCCTATCTCTTACCAGGTGCCCAGCAGGACTACCACACACAGTGAGCTAGGTGTGCCCTGGCAGGAGGGAGGGGAGCAAGGGGAGAGTGATCTAGGGGAGGGTCATTGGTCTCTGCATGGGGAGGGCAGGTGGTGAAGTTTGCATGAAGGTGCACCATCCTGGGGGATGACTCCTGCTGGCTGCCCAGGACCCCACCTCCAGCTCCTCCTGGGGACCTCCACAAAGCTTTCCCCATAGGCAGGGGTCTGGCTGAGGCTCCCTCCATACCAGACTGACCCCTCGAGGGGCTGCCTTCCTGAAAGAGCGACAAGTGTACAGGGAGCAGGGGTTCTGCGTCACCCTGCCAGACACGGTGTTAACCCACCCGGAGGGGAGTGTCGGGGGTGGGGAGACGACCCGTTAGCATACAGGCTCTGCCTGAGGGGCAGTCACAGTGTCTACCTCATGGCACTTGAAGAAGGGGGAGATTTCTAGGGTGGCTCGAATGGCTATCAGCCGGTCCCGGTAGGCAACCTGGAAAGAGACACCAGTTTTAAGCACTGAGGGTAGAGGAGCAGGAGCGACCATTTAGCTCATTAGAGCCAGTGAGTTACAAGTGGGAGTGACCCATAGCCTGGCCACTTACTCCAGCCTCGTCCACCAACGAGGAAACTGAGGCATGGGGGAAGCAGCCCAGCAGGCTCTGGTCACCCCTTTCTCTGCCCCATAATGTCCACAAGCAGGGACTGCAGGGGAAGGACAGTCCTAAATGGCCCTGCAGTCCCTGGGCTCCTCCACCAGGTGTCAGTCACCCTGGATGGCCAGCATGCAGATATGGAGTTCCATGTGACAACAGCCATTGTCACGGTGACTTCCTGAGCACAAACTGCAGTGTCCTTAGTTTTAAAAGGGAGGAGGGCTTCCGCCCTCACAGACTCCTGTAGTGCTGTCAGCCTTGGGAAGGGATATGCTGACCTCCCCAGAGGCTAGCTCTGCGCACCCAGGGCCATAGGCCACCAGGCAAGTCGGTAGCAGGAGCACACAGAGTTCCTCAGTACCCACTGGAGCAGAAGTGACACAGCCAGGCAGGGCAGCTCAGCTGCTCCCTGGAGTCCCCGGAAGCAGGAACACGTTCTGTTGGGATGTATGATAGTGGCAGGGCTGAAGTCCTGCCCGGCAGGTGCCCAGGCAGGGCCTAGGCCATGCCCAGCCTGGACAGAGGCATGGCAAAGACGCCCGAGCAGGCATGGCTACCCTGAGATCCCAACTCACCAGGATGTTATGGTTTCCTTTAGTGAATTCTCGGAAGGCCTCGGTGACTTGCTCCCTCGTTTTGGTCTTCTTGAAGTCACGGTTCACAGAACCATCTTCTTTCTAAAAGGGGAATGACCCAGAGGGGGTCACCAGAGGGCCTGTGGGTGGGTGAGACTATGCTCACCCTCCCGGCAGCCACAGAGCAGTGAGTCCTGTCCTGTCCCCTCCCACCTCTCTGGGGCCAGTGGAGGCAGCCAGGTGCCCAGGTACGGTACCCAGAGGCAGGTATGACCAGGGTCAGCGTGGTTATCAGCTGGCACAGTAGGGGGAGCCTGTCCTGGGCGCTGACTGAGGGGTACACAGGAGCAGTGGGACATCCCAGGCAGAGTGCCCTAGATTAGACAAGGCCTGCAGGTACAGGGTAACTGGGCCAAGAATGGAGGAGTGTGATCCTAAGCACCCCATCTTTAGCTCAGGCAGCAGGGGCCCAGGGAGAAAGGTGACCTCACTTCCTGCCCAAGGAAGTGCCTCTGCTGTGTGTGCTACTCTCACGTCAGTCGGCGAGCAGCGTCAGATTGACCATTGCCCTATGGCTGTGTTTATGCTTGAGTAACTCGCATATTACAACCAACACCCCGACGTGCAAGAAGAGTACGATGTGGCTATGCCAAAGAGAAGCCATGAGGCCTTCTAAGTGAAACGTCTGAAGTTCTCCACATAGGCAGCAAAGAAAAAAATTTCACTGAGGTTGCGAAGATCCATGATAAAAACAAATTCGTCTGTGAAACTGTGAAGATAAGAAATTCTTGCTAAAGTGCCTCAAACTGCAGAATTTATAAACAACCTTTACCACACATGTGTGTGTACAGGGAATGACAGAGTGCCCATAGGGTTTGGTACTGTCTCAGGCTTCTGTGCTGGGTCTTGCAGTGCACCACAGACTGGGGACCACTGTATAGGTCCCCCAGAAGTCAAGATCTCAACGTGGTTCCCCATCTCTGAGCCCTAGTCCACCTGCTTCATTTCCTAGGCCCAGCACGCCCTCTGTTCTGGCTGTCCTCTGCCCAGCTAGGAGGAAATCCATTCTTTAGGGACAAAAGAGGAGAGAGGAGAGGTCAGTAGGAGCCCCGACTACTGGGACTGTCTACAGATGACAGCTATAATGTCACTGTGGTTATCTGCAAAAGAACAGGCAGGCCACTAGGGCCCAGAGAGCAGCCATGGTCTCCAAGAACCATGGTCCAAGTGGCAAGCACTGGTCTCCTGGCCAAGGGCAGGGGAGGGCAGTGATGATGCCTCTGAACCAGCAGATCACTGTCGACTGTACCTACAGCTGGACAATGCACAGTGACCAGGGGCACGTCCTGCTCAGGAGGGGGCAGGACGGGGGTGGGGTGGGGAGCGGAGGGAGGAAGGTGTCATGTGCATTCAGTCCGAGGGCTGGACCTTGCAAAAAAGACAGGGAAGGAGGCATGGCCTCCTCAGGCCCGAGCTTGGGAAACAGCTCCCCTTGGGAAGGTGAGAACCTTCCTTGTGGCCAAGGGCAGTGAGACAGCCGTGGCTATAGGACCTGAAAAGAGGCCGATGGACACCCCCCTCACTTCAGCTACGGAGTGGGGACGCTGAGCCACCCAACCCTGACTCTATGCTGGACACGCTCCAAGGCCAGGCAGAGGAGAGACCCAGAGCAACTGTAAGGACTGCCACACAAGGCTCCGAGGGGCCTGGGTCCCCCAGCCCTGCTCCTGGGTGTTTCTTGCAAGTCTCACAGCAAGGAGTATGTGCAGTAGCGTGGGAACAGGGGCTGGAAGGGCGAAGGAGGGAGACTGAGGTCCAAGGGACCACAGGCCAGCCAGCACACTCCTCAGTGCCTGCAGTGAACGAGTAGCTTCCCCACAGCCAGCTCGAAGCAGCAAATGTTGGGTTTCTCAGTGCCAGGCCCTGGCTGGGCTCAGCAGGGACCCCTGAGCAAAGGGCACTTCTAGGCAAGATGAGAAGCCACCCTCACCCCAAGGCCCCGGCACAGCCATCCCACCTGTACCTCAGGCTGAGGAACAGGCCACTGTCTCCACCTGTCCCCAGGGCTGGCAGCCCGTACTTGGGCCTGTGCTGGGTTAGGCCCACAGCCTCAGAAGGGTTGAGAGCAGCCAGGAGCCCTAGGCTGGAGGCTGGAGGGTGTGCATGGAGGAGGGCCCAAGGCCCCCAGCATCCCACTGGGAACCAAATGACCCAGTGGTCACTCGCTAGGCTTACCTTGATGCCCTCGATCCTGAAGCCAAGGGTGGCTGTGGAGCTGATGGTCTCCCTCCACTGCATGTACCGTGGCTTGGTCACGGCCCGCTGGGCTTTCTCCTCCTCTGTGGGGGCCTCGGGGTCCACTTCAACCATTTTCTGGTACATGTCCTTCCGCAGGCTGGGCTTCTTCCGGGCCTTGGTGAGCTCCTCCTCCAGGTACGTCCTACGTGGGAGGTGAGACGGCAGCATGAGGGCCAAGGGCTGGGCCACAGCTCCTGCAGTCCCTCGGGCTGCATGGTGGAAGAAGACGAGGCTGTGCCTTGTCTGAGGTCTGCGGTCAGTGATGTCACAGGTGAGCGTGCAGGTAGTGCGGAGAAGGCTAGCGTCCCCTGCAGGGGAGACTCTCCAAGGTGAGCACAAGGCATTCAGCACCTTGGGGGTCGGCACTGTCTCAGGTCCCCAGGCAGAGGGAGTGAGCAGGTGGCTCTTAGATGGAAGGCAGAGTTTGGGAGGTGAGACAGCCCTGCAGCAGTCTCAGGCAGCAGTCTCAGGCAGCAGTCTCGGGGCTCCCTTTCTGCTCGCTGCCCTGCCTCCTCCTGCACCTTCTCTCTCTCTTCTTCCTCTTGGGTCCTCTCCCAGCTCAGCTCCTTAGGCTGAGCCAGAGCCCACAGCAGCAGCCCTGGGTAAGGGGCACCTCTGCCACAGGCCCAGTGGCCCTCCAGACTGTGGCACTTAACCTGGGCCCCCGGAGCACCTGTGGGGCTAGGATCACCTCAGGCGACCTGAAATGGGGCCTCCTGAGTGCCTGGGCTCCCTCCTCAGTTGCACCCTCATACAGGCACCAGTGTTTTGGGGAAACCAATAGGTTCTACCATCCAGCTGTCTCTCCCATCTATTCACATTTCCCCTGCAGCTCACAAAACTGTGACAGGAGGTCACTATCTTGCTACTCCCCTCACCCAAGCTGTCCCAGCTGACCAGAGGGCAGCTCTTTGCCTGCTCTGTGGGAGCTGGGTACCCAGCCAGGGCTCCTTTCCCGCCTCCCCTGCTCTTCAGAGAAGGGAAAGGGTTGTCAGTGTAAAGGCAGTGCCCCGTGCCCTCTGCGTGGCCAGGAACATGCCAGACAAGTGCGTGTGGGAGGAGCCAGCTCACCTGATGCCCATCTTGCAGTCCATCACACAGGGCGAGTCGAAGTCGGCCAGCAGGTCCTCCATCTGGTTGTAGCGCTCCCCGTCCTTCACCACATCGCCGTGGTAGGCAGGCACGAAAGGCCTCAACACGTCAGCCATCAGCCGATCCAGGCAGCGCTGCTCCGACTCACAGTGCTTCTTCAGGATCCGGCCATTTGCAGCTGCCTTGAAGCTCCCTGCAAGCAAGTGGGAGGAGGCCCTTATCCCTGGCTGTAGCAGCAAGGGACCTGCCACCTATCCAATAGTCCCTCTGGTACAGCGCCCAGGCTGCTCTGGGGACACTGCCCCACTGGCTGGGCTTAGAGCTAACAGTGGGCCTGCCTCCCCGCTATGGGCCAGCACTCGAAGGCAAGTGGCTCTGAGTCCCAGTCTCCCACCCACCGATGGTAGCCCTGGGCTGCCCCCAGCTGCCCTGACACTGCACTCCTCACCGTGGAAGACTGACTGTCCATGCTCAGTGTGCCTGCCCATCCCAACCCTGCTTCCCAGGCACCTAGGTGTCCCTGGGACTCAGGAGAGAAGACCTAAGAGGAAAGGACTCAGTGCCAGGACAGAGGTACTCCTGAGCCACACCACTACTAAGTATTTAGAGTGGCCATCCACTGGGTGGGCCAATGCAGTGGAGGACATAAAAGAAACACTGGACCTTGGACTGGCCTGAACAGAAACTGCAGACCAGCTATATCATGAAGGCCAGATCCACAGGCGTTCACTAAAAAAACGTCCCCAGAAGACAATGCCTGCAAAGGGCCCATGTGAGGGCTGGACGACTCTGGGCTTTGGCTCCAGAAGTCACCCTCATCTGTCATTAACAGGTAACCCAGCTCCCTAGCAACCCCCCACCTTGTGGCTGTGGGGTGACCCATCTGCTTCTTCCACCAGTCAAAAGCTGTTTTGGGGGTGTAGACTATGTCTAAATTAACTCTGTAACCCTAGGACCAAGGTGATGCAGCCACAAACTGCAATACTGAATAAAGCAGTTAGTTTTGCCTCCGTCCAGGGTGTCAAGCTACAGAGACTGATGACTTCATCTGTTTTACTGGGTAAAATTGGAAGAGCGCCTGGGAGAGAAAGACTGGAAGAGATGGAGGTAAGAGGGCAGAGGTGGGACGAGAGGATGTGTGCTCTGGGGATGGGGTGGCATGGCCTCTGGGCAGGGTGGTTGTCTGGGTTCACAGGCAAGGCAGTGCTAAGGCCGAATCTTCTGCAGCTGGCTGTGATTCAGCCTGGAGAGTACCTCGGAGAGACGCTGTCCTCACTCTTTCTTTTCCGATGCCACCCAGGGCCTGGCTGCCCCTCCCACACTTCCTGGGCACCTCCTGCCCCCAAGTCCAGGAGGGCTGCATCTACCTGCGTGTCCTGCCAGCTGGATCCAGGGGTACTTCTTCTTGAAGGACATGACAAAGGGGGACCAGTGCACCATGTTCTTTATCTTTCTCCATGATTTGCTCTGAAAACAAGCAAACAAAAAAGCTCTACATTAGAAAAGACAATCACCGCTTTCTGATTCGGACAAATTCAAAGGAAGGAAACTTACTGCCTGTGGCCACTAAAAAGGCACCACACCCACAGCACCGGTGCCCTTGGTGGGCTCCAAGCACCTTGTACTCTACGTGGTGCACAGTCTCACACGGCTTTGCCCTCTTTTACAAACAGCTGAGTAAGCCTCTCAGAGGACCTCCAGGTCCAGGTCCAGGGATAGCTGAAGAGGAAGGCAAAGTGCACCCGCCCCTGCCTGTTCCCACAGGGAAGGGCTAAACCCACAGTGCGCTTCTTCACACTCCCTCTTTGGGTCTCAGTTTCCTCATCTGTCAAGGGAGCGACAGACAGCTGGTCTACAGGCTCCTGAGGCTAACAGACACCAGGACTCTGGAAAATGGCTCCCCTCAGGTCAGCAGCAATGGCCTCCCCCAAAGAAGACTGGAGAGGGCCACTGTCGCCAGCTGCAATGTGTCACTGCCCATGTTATTTGTAGATGTAGTGGTAAGTGACCACTCATAGAGGAAGGGTCCCAGGACCATGGCAGGGCCGTTCAAAGAAAACTGCAGGTGGGTGGCACATGCCTGTGGTCCCAGTGCCTCAGAAGGCTGAGGCAGGAGAATCACTTGAGCTCAGGAGTTGGGAGGCCAGCCTGGACAACACAGCAACACCCCAACTGAAAACAAAACAAAACAAAACAAAAACCAGAGGCATGCTGGGAAAGCAGGGGCTCCCGGTGGAGGCAGTTTGGGGACAGACGCAGGGGAGAGGCGGAAGAGGCTCTGCAGGCTAGACTTGGAGCAGCTAGAGCCAGACCTGCTGGCACTGAGGCCGGAGGGGGTGGGAGGTGAGCGTGAACAGATGTGGAGGCGTTGGTGAACATGGCGTGGGGAGGCAGCCCACCCAGGCCTGGGCCCTGGCTTCACATCCTCATTGCTGACGACCCTTGAGCAGGTCCCTGACCCTCTGTAGGGCTCCGTTTCTAGTCTGTAAAATGGGAATGATACATGGGTCCCTTCCCCCAGGAGACAGAGCTACTAGAAGGCCATGGGCCCAGGGAATTTGTGGAAGAGCCTTTAGCACTAATTGCGCAGACACCAGTGTCCCTGGAGTTACCCCGATGGCCAGTCTGGGCTAAGCAGAGGGATTGCCATAGCAACCGAAGAATAAAGCTGGCGGAGCTTGGGCTGGCTCAGACCCACCCTGTTGGCAGGCAGCTCTGCAGACACCCACAAAGACACGTGGGGCAAATGGGCAGGAGACCAGGTAGCAGGGGACAGACACCAGACAGGACTGCACAGCTTGGGCCTGGTAAGGGCATTGGAAGCTGTGAAACAGCTCATTCCCTGACGGCTCTTCTGAGACTGTATCAGGGGTCTCCTAACAGAACCTCCATGCCAGGGCTGGATGAAGGCTGTGGAATATTCCTCTTGGGAGAAGTGCCAGGCATTTGCCTGGAAGACTCCAGCACTCTGGCTGGCAGCAGGCACAGGGGTTTTCCTGGACTTTAAAAGCAGCACCCAGGCAGTCCCGGGTTGCTGCCAAACACCAGAGAAAGCACTTTCCGGGCCAGGGCCAGGCAGTGCAAGAGGGCCCAAAGCTGCAGAGACAAATGCAGGAACAGTTCCAGGGAGCACAGCACCGCCCTGCAACCGACCCACTCAGAGAGGCTGCTTTCTGGGCACGGGGAGGACAAGTTAGGGGGATACACTGTGCTGGAGGAAGCCACAATCCTCAGAAATGCACTCCAGGCTTCTTGCTCCAGCTAGGATAGACAAGATAAGAAAGGAAGCAGCCACCAACTTGGAGGCGCTCCACCCACCAGCCTGGAGGAGCCCCACTCAGAGCCAGGTGTTGCTCTCAGCCCTGGTCCTGGTGATTCTCTCTCTGAAGTGAGAGCCAGGCATCCAACTTCCCAAGTCCAGCTACAGGCAATACAAAAGTGGTTTTCAAAAGCCTGCCATGTGGTTTGGAAGACAGCCCTGCTCCTTCACCATCCCCCAGTCACCCGGGCATCTGTAGACCTTTCCTGGAGTGCCCCAAAGCTCTGTGCACATGACAGGTCCCCACTGGCCCCTGGGGCAGGGACCCCCTTGTGGATCTGAGTGGTTGGCTGGCTGACAAGCCAGCTCCCCTGGGGCACATTGCTGCCTTGCACACAGACCTGGGCCAGATGGCAGCAACTACACTGGGAGGCCATCCTTGGGCTGCTGGACATTGGGGTCTGCTAGTAGCAAGCTGGCAGGGCTGTCACCTCACTGGGGGATGGGAGGGATCACTTCTGCCAATGTGCTACACAGATACCAGTCCCCAGCAGCGAGGAGCCCAGACTTTTGCCTTTCACAACAGCCTTGTGCTGGATGAGTACTTTCTCCATCAGAGGCTAAGTGCATTGCAGGCCCTGAGTCATTCTGTCCTTTGCCCCTACCTATAGGAGCCAGCTGCAGCTAGGGTCCCCATCCACGACTGTTCTTTTCAGCCTTGACACAGATAGATGAGGGGACAGGAGACAGAGACTGGGCAGGAAGGACAGAAGGGAGACTCCTTTCTCTAAGGCAGCTCTCCTGGGCAGCTGGCTGCCAGCTTGAGAGGTGGCAGGAGGGGGAGAAGGGGTGTTCCCGGCTGCTACTTTAATGTAGAAACCCAGAGCCTTTGAAAGGCACCCCATAGCTGGTCACCAAAACCCTAGAGGCCTTCTGCTATGGGGCTGCTCCAGTGCCGCTTCCAGAGCAGTGACAAAATGACACAAGACTTGGTGAGATCAGAGCAGCTGTCCCCTTGCCGACTCTAGAAGGAATTCTGCACTATGGATATTTGTGAGAAAAGAAGACACAGAAAGGAACCCCCGCCCCCACAAAGCCACATGCCCACCCAGCAGAGAGAGAGCACCAGGAAGTCTGGGGACACACAACTTTGATACTGTGGCAGGTGGTTAAACCAACTGAACCACAGGCCTGAGGCCTTCCAGGTGACCCCTTGAATTTAAGGGCTTGGATGAGTCCAGCCAGACCCATCTCTGCATTGCTGCCCTTCCAGTTAAACAAGCCCTGGCTGGGCTTCGCCTTTGTCCACCTGCAGCAGGCAGTGAGGCCTCCTGGGGCAGCCCTGACCTCACTGGCCTCATGCCTGCCTCCAGTTGCACAGGGAATTGGCAAGCCCCAACTCTTTGAGTTAAGTTTGGTCAGGAAGGATCCAAAAACCACCAGACAAGGGAATACGGTCCTTCAAAACTCCAGGAGGCCTGGAGGGCATGGAGGTGCTGAGGTTGCTCCTGCCTCGCAACTGACTTAAAGCTGCTAAAATATTCAGAGAGTGCAGACTGATTCCTAGTGGGGAGAAATAAAACAAAACAAAAGAGGACAAGCCCCCAAGCCTCTTCATGGTGGGGTGACAGGAAGCCAGAGGGGGAGAAAGTCTAAGAACCAGGCAGGCAGCAGTGAGCCCTGGGCCTGCCTTACAGCTCCAAGGCCACCCTGGGCAGGTTCTGCAGGAAAAGTGCAGCTGGGAAAGGCCAAGCCAGGACACATCCCGTCTCAACTTCTCTTCCTTCCTGTTTCCCAAGAATTTCCTACAGCAGATGGCAATTGGCTTGCTAGAGGCAGTCTAGACTGCAGGTGGACTGCAGAGCAAGCCCATGTTCTTCCCTCCCACCTCTGATTCTGGACTCGGAGCTGCCCAGAGCCCTAGAGAGCCCAGGTTCTCAAGTGTGACCCATGTTCAGGCTGGGCCCAAGACAGAAGCCTGGGCAAGGTCTCTGATTCCACGTTTATCTAGACTGCATTCCAAGCCTCACACGGGGCTCATGATTCCAGGGACAGGCCATCCTCCAGCTGGCTGTCTAGGTCAGGCGTCCCCAGGTGCTGCAGGGAAGTGCTGCCTTATATTTAAAAAGGAGGGGGCACCCTCTTCTACAGAGGACCAGAAGAGAAATGGTGGGGACGAGAGAAGGAGGAGAAGTGAAGGAAGCAGCGATCCTGGGCCTGCAGGCCTCTGTCCTGACTTCCCTCTGCTGTGGACTCTGGGATGCTGGCCCTGGTGGCCCATCCCCACCAGTCCCCTGTGGCTCACTCTGTGACCTCTTTCAGGCCTGGGCCTCCTGGCAGGCAGCTTCAGGCTGCACACACAGTGTCCATCTGCTACTGAGGATTTTGTTAACCCCTGTGTGTCTAATGGCAGCGCAGACCCCTTCCTAGGAAGCTCCATCCAGCTCTTAGCAGTGGTCCACCCCAGAACTCAAGACACCACTGGAAGGCCCAGAGCACGCACCAGGGCCAGCCACCAGGCCCAGCCACCAGGCCTGCAGGCTGGACCAGCCTTACAGTGTCCAGAAGAGAGGTCAAACCCAATAGGCAGTGAGGGCTACCCTCACCAGAGCACTGGGTCAGAACACTGGGTCAGAGAAGCAGAAGAAAGTGACGGTCAGGCAGGTGCAGCTCTGCGCAATTTCTTATCTGACCTCTGCAGGCCTTGGCGCTCAGCACAGCCATGTGGGACATTTGAGACCTTGCACCCTAAAGACAGCCACTTACAGTCCCAAATTGACCTGCAACACCACCCTCCTCCAGCCACCCTCCATCCTGCTTCCTCTGCCAGGCCCCGGGTTCTCACTCCCTGCAAATGAGGGACCAAGGTGACAGGCTCCTCACTCTCCGTGGGAAGCTAAGAACCTCTGCCTGGCACATGTGGGTGGTGGGGCGGCCCACAGTGCTGGTCCTCTCTTCATGGTTCCTGGGGCAAGGCAGTGACGGACAGCACAGTCAGGCTTTGGAGGCCGAATGAATCTCTCCCCACCAACTCCTGCTGCACTGGGCGCAGGCCTCAGCGTCCTCATCTGCAAACTGGGCACCCGCGCAGTACGGCGAGAGCCTGGTGAGGCGACCGACACACACAAGTGCTCTGTGCACGGCCGTAGACACGCGAATTTAACACATTCGCTTTGTTTTTGACTCTGCACCTGGTTTTGTAAGGCAG